AAGTTTAGAGGGGGAAAAAACACCAAAGCTACACTGTGCAGTGAGAAACATGTGAACATATATGATAGACACAGATTGGTCAGTGTTTTCTGCCATAGAATTTGCCTAGGAAACTCAACAACTCATTCACAGAGAGAGTTTCTTTGCCCATTCAGCAACTCATCATTTTCTGCTTCCTTGCTCAGTTATTTGCATATTTAAGGATGGGCTCTACTTCAAAAGTTCTCCACACCCTATGTATCAAGGTACAGAAATCTACTAGCTCTCTGACAGCCAATCCCAACCCTGGCCAGGTTGCTGCCTTCCCTGAGGTGAAAGTTGCAGTGTGAAAAGCACATCCTCTTCTCCATACTTGCTGCCACATGGTCCAGCCCGTCCCGAGTGATTGCTCTAGCTGCTGTGGAGAGAGGTGTGAGGTAAGCCCCGTGGGATGCATTGTCACTTAGTGGGTTCCTATCACATCTTGTGGTCCTTTCCCATACTTTTCCTATTTCTTACATTCTGTCTCTTAATCTCTGATCACATTTACATAATGATATCTAGGGTCCTTGAATATTATAATCTAAAGGGTATATGTACAAAGGAGGGGTGAGCAAGTCTTCTGCTTATTAGGAAAAAAATCTGCTGGCACCTGCTGCTTTGAAGATCTGATCTTGAAAGTGCATAATTGCAAGCTCAGTCCTGAGTCACCATGAGGGTCAGGAAGAGGGATGGTTGGCTCACTTTCTTAGCGTTTACTGTGTACTGCCTTGAGAGGTTAATGCTCTTTCACACATTGAGGTCAGATCTCCCCAGCTAGATTTCACATAATTGGAGGGCAAGAGCATGTGCTACTCATCTTTCTGCCAAGCATAGGATCTGCTATTGAACTCCCACCCTGTGACCTTTCTGTGATTGAAACGGTGGCATGATGGAACCAGATATGCCATGCTCACACTGGGGTGTCAGGGACTTCTGTTCCTTTTTTTTTTCTCCCCAAAGAATAATGACATACTGGTACCCAAAGACATAGTTTAGAATTTTTTTTCTTTTTCTTTTTGTTCGCTATAGGGCATGGGCACTTGCCAGAAAGAGAAAGAGAGACAAAGAGTGAGAAATCACCTTCCAGGGGGTTGACCACACTGTAATCCCTTCTCCATTCTCCTTTCAAGGATTTTGGACACACACACACACTCTGCATCTCCTGAGGCACTCAGATGCCGGCCTTAATCAGAAGCGGACTAGGCAGCCATCTATTAGACACATTACAAAATACCATAAATATCCCCTCACTGCATCTGCCTTGGTGCCTGAGGGACCTAGAACCTAGGCTTCTCCTCTGGGCTGAGGGCCCTGATAAGTCCTATGTAGGGATGGCTGAGCTGAGACCTGGCTCAGCCCCGACTGAGGGGCTGAGGGGTGTCATCCAAGAATGGAATGAGTGAATGACTTCACATTAAGGAAATCTCACAAGTGAGATGTGCAGCTACTTTCTTAAGCAAAATAGAGAAAACATGATGTAATTTTTCTGGACGATTAAGGACATTATTTTTAAAACCGGTCATTTGCTATGAGAGCTGTGATGTTATTAGGGACTTCGGGGAGGCATTTATTGTATAGCACATCCATCTGAACTGCGGAAGCTGGACACTTTGATGTGGCTGTTTTAATTTGACTGGGTAAAAATTAGATGTATGAGCTTAAGAAGGTGGCATAGCAGTTGAGGTGCCGGACTCCCACATGGCCGACCATGGTTTGAGTCCCGGACCTGGTAACTTTAAACTCATGCTGGGTGCATGTATGTGCATGCCCAAAATCCTAAGAGGAGAATGGAGAAGAAGGAATTGCAGCATGGCCATCTGCCCTGGGGGTGATTTCTCACTTTCCCTCTCTCTGTCTCTCTAGTGTGTCCAATAGCAAACATCTCTCCAAAAAAAAGGATATGGTTGCTTTTACAGAAATCACTCGGTAATTTTTTAAAAAGCTGTTTAGTGTTTCATTTTTAGGATTTCAGTCTCTGACCTTTGTTCATTGTTCTTCTACGTTGCAACTTCTAACCCACTAAGGGTTCGGGCAACAGACAAACCACACTCATTAGAACTGTGTGGGACATGTGATCTGCACACAAGGCTGATGGTTGTTCTAGGACTACAAGCAGGGAAGGGTTTATGTCTAACCCTCATGGTGCTGTTTTGCCTGGGCAGATTAGTGCATGAAACCCTTCCCACCACTGCCCAGTAGCTTAAATTAGTTCTTCAAGCAGCCATTTTTTTTCTTCCTAGCATCAAAAGTAAAGAAGGGTCTGCCAGAGTATGGTCTGGGAGGATGGGTCTCAATGAGAGGCCAAGAGTGGTGCTGTTGGACATCTAACTGGAGGAAAGTAGGAATGCAGGCAGAAGCAGGGAGAGGCCTCAGTGCTGTTGAACAGAAACCACAGCTTGATGGTTTCCCATTTTGCTGGCTGGGCCTGGCTGTACGAGTTCTCCTGGGGTCAATTGTTTTGCCACAGCCTGGTTTAAAAACAGTCAGTGTTCTAGGAGCCCCTTGAGAATGAGCATCTTGTTTTGAAAATCAATTTGAAGCTGGAATGGAAGAAGTTTCTTTGTAGTCACAAATAAGAACAATGAAAACATGACTATTCTACTTTATCGTTATTTTGGCCTTATAAAAATAAAAAGTAAACTTTTTATTTTTTTTTTAACTTGGGAAGAGGATTTTATAAAAACCTCCACATTTTGTGTACATATCAGCCATGAGAATCTCTCACTCCAAAATCCATTTGAGATGGATTTAAAACTCAAGGAAATAGCCGCTCTCTTCCGGTTTCTGAGTAACTGAACTTTGTAGATAACAGCAGATTGGAAGATAGAATCAGTTAATCCCTGAACTCAAGAAACCCTTGGCTCTTTTCCCAGATAATACAAGATGCTGAAAATTGGTCAGGTCTCAGCCTCACCTCGGCACATTTCTCCCCCCTTCGGAAGAAGGCAGCTTTTGACCACCGCCAGTGTGCAAGCCGGGCTGCAGTGCTACAATGTGATGAGAGCATGAACAAGGGTCATTCTGGGAGGGCATCACCTGGAAGGCAGCAAGGGCCAGGCAGGTACCTGCAGACCAGCTGCCACTCAGTGATGGGGCTGGCAGCCAAGCAAGCGCCAGCCTTTTCAAAGCAGCCCTTTTGATAAACTGATTACATTTCCATCACCAGAGCTTTGGGCTGATTGAGCAACAGCCAACTTCTCTGGGTAACAAAGAGGAGGGGAAAGTAATCCAAACACAGGTTTTATTATAAAAACCAGGGAGTGAGAGAAGTGTGTTTATTCTGTAAGATAACACACCTGCTCAGTGCCGGGAGGCTCATTTCCATCAGTTGCCATGGCAAACTCGTTATACTTCAAGGCCATGTGGCTTTGTTTCCTTTTGAGATCTGGTCCTTGTCCTACCTTTTCTAACAACTCCAACACAATGACATGGAAGCCTGTGACAGCATAATTGATTTCTCCTTCCCTCTATCAACAGTTCACATTTGTTCGGCACAGGACTGAGTCTGCCTCCTCCTTTGAACTCCTTGCTAACCGTGAAGGCATGCTTCAGAGAGCCATCCTCATTAACATTCCAGGTCCCTCTTCTCTGTCAGCAATAAACAAGTCCCGCATCAATGGCCTCCTGCCTTCCAGTTTTACAAATGAGTGGCTCAGTTCCATGTTTTGCTGCTGATCCAGGTGCCCAGGCGTACAACGCGGGGCTTAGAAGCACGCGGGAGAGACTAAAAATAGAACCGCAGTTTTGGACGCATACCAGAGCAGCTACTTCATCTCAACTTGCTTTGCACACTAAGCCTAATGGGATCCATCAGGCATGAGTTCTCTCGCGCTCATTCTCTCCCTCCCTCTCCCCTCTCTCCCCAGCTGCCGTCTACCATCAGCGCCTTCCTGGTGAAGGGAGCAAAGGGAGGTCAGGCAGGGGACAAGAAATGTGTGCCCTCATGGTTTTCGTTTACAAGCCCTGAGAGATCTGGGGCTGCAATTACTCTTTCCATAGACAGTGTGTAGAAAAGAGCAGGCAGGCCCAAGTACCCACCCATCTTTGCCTAGGTACGTTTTGGTCCAAGATTTTCACTGTTTAGCAAAGTTTCAAGTATATTTCCTAACCACTCATGTGACTGAGACACACACTCAGAATTTTTAAAAAACAATTTATTCATGAAGGGCCAGCAGGTGGCATGGTGGTAAAGGCACTGGACACTCCCACATGGCCAACACCGACCACCGACCACGGATTGCGTCCAGACCAGGTGGCTTGCTTTCTCACTTCCTCGCTCTCTCTGTGTTTCTCTGGTCAAATTAAAATATAATGAATGAATACATAAAATTAAATAAATAATTTTTAAAAATTTATTCATGATAGAGCAAGTGCATGAGAGAAAGGAAGACACACTATAGCAGGGGTCCATGGCATGTTACTCCCCCCACCCCACTCTCCAGCCCCACAGTTGAGGGTGGGTGGTGGATGAGCAAGTGAGTGTGGCTTCATCTGTGTTTGCAGCCACTCCCCATCACTTGCATTGCTGCCTGGGTTCTGCCTCCTGTTGGATTAGTAGCAACAGTACTGGATTCTCATGGCAGCATGAACCGAATCATGAGGTTGTTTCATTGTATGTTGCAATGTGGTAGTGGTAGAAATGGGTTATACAATGGCTGTGGTATGCTTGGGTCATCACACAACCAACCCATCTCCACCCCCTACTCCACTCCTGTCTATGGAGTAGGACCTTGTCTTCCATGAAGCCGGTTCCTGGTGCCAAGAAGATTTGGGACCACTGCTCTACAGGACTAAGTCATATGCTGCAATGTCTTCCTCCATTCCTCCAGCTCCCCAGGATCTTTAACACATGTGCTCTTAACCCAGCATGCTTTTAGGTTGACCAGACCAGGGACTCTGACCCTGGTGGACATATGGCTTCTAGTTCTGCTATGTGGTCTGCTACTAGCTATATCACAGAGGCTGAGCCATATGCATATATTTCTTGAGAAATTAAATAGAGAGCTAAAATACACTGATTGTTCCTCTTATAGGTCCCACCTGTTTGACTCGCGACAAAGAATTTGGGAGCAAATGCACAGTCACAGATGGAAGGGCTGCAACACACATGGGTGAGTTGGCAACACACTGTCCAGGATTTGTGAAAGCCATCTACCTCCCACCAAGTATTCTATCCCACCTACTATTCTACCTGAAAGCATTGGGATACGTCAGCATGAAGTTAGGAACATGAACAAGTTGTCCTGCCTCGGCTCAAGCCTCCCAGAGTGCCAACTGGATTGATTGAGCTGGGCTCCTGTGTGTTGTTGTTGCCCTCCTGATAAAGGGTACCTTTCCTGCAGCTTCCCCTCAACTCAAAGGACAATTAGCCTGATCCATTACACTTCTCATTTCTCCATCTTACAAGTAATGCAGATGTTCCAAACACTATGTATTATCCCAACGTGCCACATTTTTAGAATCGAAGGTGTGAGAGAAAGATGAATGCCACAGTATTTAAAAATCTTTTTTTAAAATGTTGATGTTTTGGAAATTGGCCAGACAAAACTAAAAGAAATTGCTCTAACTGCAGATTTCATCTGTAGGCTTCAAGAAAGTGTCAAGGCCTTTTAAATTGTGCCTTGGTTTCATATAGTGCATAAAATAAATATGCCAGACCACTTCAAGAAAAGTCTTACTCCATATAATCACAGCAATAATTAATTCCCCAAAGGATTTCTCACAGAACAAGTTGCAACATGATCATTTAATCCTGTAGCCACTAGAGGATGTTGGTATATCATCCCTCAGGTCTCCCATGTTCACAAAGCTCAGTTTACCTCGGGGGATTCGAGGTCATTTGTTGAACAAATCTACCATCAAACCTAGACAGCTTTCTAGGCTCACTAAATAACTGCAGAATGGACACCAGGACACCTGGGTCCTAGCCCTAGGGTGAGTTTTGACAATCTACAGTGTGTCTGGGCCCCACTTTCCCCCTGTGTAACAAAGTTGCAGGGGGGTACGATTTCCAGGGTCTCTTCCAGACTGCAAATTCCGTGACAGAAATAAATGATCTGAGAATTTCATTGATTTTGGTGTTTGCTTGCTTCCTCCTTGGTTTTCTGTTTATTGGTTTGGTTGGTTGGTGAGCTCGCATAGAGCTTTTTATCTTGAAAAATAGTGCATAATTCTCTATGAGAGGCATTTCTTCTTTGTAGTATTTTCCCACAGTGTAACCTTCCTTCTCTTTTCATCTGCCACCAGGAGGTGGGTCCCACCGATTCTTCTTGGTTCATTAAGAGGAAACAGAAAGATCCTGTGTTTTGAGTGGCTCTTTCTGGATCATTTCCCAATGAACATAGGACTTTGCAATCCATTTGGCAAAGGTGATGGTGACAATGGGGTATTTGGCAAAGTGGATGAGGTGGTTGATGAAGCGGCTGGGGTTAAGAAAAATGCTTTTGGCAAAACATCATGAAACAAGGGTGGAATGTTCAAAATGGAGAATTTACGTCCCTTGCTGAGATGCCTCTGAGAAAAACCCAGTCTTTAAAGAAGTGATTTATTTGGTAGGAAACAAAGAAAAAGGTATCAATAGTAATCATTTTTCTGAGCAATGAGCTGAGAAATAGCTGGTCTAATACTTTGTGGCCACATACTGATATGTGTTTGAACAATATAGACATTAGAGGAGATAGGTATTTTGAAACCAGTCACTAAAATTTTAAATTACATTTAAAATTTTGAATTAGTCACTCAATGTTAGGCAAGAATCTAACCTTGCATTTCTCATACACTACTACTACTCTCCCTTTTCTTATCCCTTTTCAAATCTGTTGAGGTCTGAATAAAGCCTTGAGGCTAAAGGTTATTTTTTACTAACTCAGTCCTATTCCATTTCTAACCCCGAAATATCTACAGATGAATGCATGAGGACCAGGATAACATCTAAATAAACCAAGTGTTAATCTTAGTGTCAGTGCTCTAAAATAGTTGTTAAAATTCCTTTGATGTTGGTGGTCATCAGATTTCACTGAAGCGCCAGGAGCCAACCTTTCATCACTTAGCCAGGTGGTGGTAGGTGTTTGTGATGTCTGTGTGCGCCTTTTGCTTTGTTTTTATTTTTGCTACCAGTGCTACCAGCTAAAACACTTTAATGACTGTTTAGTGGAACATCAGGGACTTTGTCAATCCCCTGGGGTAGGAGGAGTGGAAGGCATGAGTAGTTGCGGGTTCAAGACAGGTCTCTGAAGGGAGGAGGGGATAATAACATCACATTGCTAAATCTTGACAAACTAGAAACATTTCCAAGTAATCATTGCTGATGTCATTTACTTTTCAAATGTGTGTTGAACCCTTAATGATGGTGTCATCTCAGCCCCAAAAAAGATAATGAAAAGAGAGGGAAAAAACCATGACATTTGTGTCTGGGTGCTTTCCAGGAATTAACCAAACAAGTTCTACCAAGTCTCAAGCACTATGAACTGAAAATACTTGTCAAGTCTTACAAATGAGAGTTTAAGTTATGCTGAATTTTGTTTTCTTTTCCTATTGTTTAAAAAACAAAGACATTCCCCTTACCGAGTAGGCATCTAAGATGTAAAGTAAATGAAGCAAGTGTTTTTTGCAACTTACTAGCAACATTTTTATTTGTAGCTAACAAATATTTATCCTTCTCCTGTGGTGACATATGAGAGTTGTAGCACAATGAAGCCTTGTTTATGAGGTTAGGTAGACAGAGGTAAGCAGTAGCTCTCACTCCCAAGAAGTCTTCATATTGGCCTACTATCTTGGGCCATAATGAAAGCCATCCCATATTGGCTTTATATATAGTTGATATACATGTATACATATGTTATATGTGGTTTATTATTTTTTTTTGAGGGTGGGTTTTGCCATAGGGTGCATGCACTCACCAGAGAGAGACAGAGACAATAAGAGGAAAAGTGAGGAATCACCCACCAGAAGGGACAGTGATTACACTCTGCAATCCCTTCTCCCCCATACCCCTCCTGGGAACTTGGGCACCCATGCACATACATCCGACATGATTTTCAAGCTGCCAGGTCCGAGACTTGAACTGCAGTCAGCCATGTGGGAGTCCAGAGACGTAACTGCTATGCCATCTACAGGTCCCTGTTTATTTTTCTTTTGGAGAAAAATATTCTCCAAAATTAGGGTGTTGTTGAACAGATTTTAAAAAGGAATTGTCTCTGTTAAGAAAAATGTACATTTGGAGGCCAGCAGGCGACATGGTAGTTAAGGTGCTGGACTCCCACATGGCTGATCACGGTTCATGTCCCAGGTCAGTGGCTTGAAAATCATGCCAGATGCAGGTGAACGCATGCCCAAAATCCTGATAGGAAAATGAAAGAGAATGGATTGCAGTGTGGCCATCCACCCTGGGAGAGGAGTTCTCACTTTCCACCTCTCTCTGCCTCTCTCCAGCAGGTACACTTGCTCTCTGGTAAATGTCTGTTTAAAGAAGGAGAAGGAGAAGAAAGAAAATTCGTTTCCTGGAAGATATAATTATGAAAATGAAAACTTAGTTATTCCTAAGAATGACTAAAAGGATACTAGAGATACTTTTGTTTATGCCATTTTATAAATGAGTCCTCAGAGTTTTAGAAAAGTGAAAGTGGGGCCAGCAAGTGGCATGGTGGTTAGAGCACTGGACTCCTAAATGGACAACTATGGTTCGAGTCCCAGACATGGTGGCTTGCTTTCTCACTTTCCCTTTGTCTCTCTCTTTCTCTGGTCAAATTAAAAAAGAATAATAAATAAAATTAATAATTAGAAAAATAAAGAAAAGCGAAAGGTCTTATAAAGCTCACACAGCTAGTCAGTGGTCAAACCAAGACCAGAACACAGGTCTCCCAGATCAGAGCCCGTACTCTGTGTCCCGTCATTTCATGCACACACATTAATTGTTGGCATAGATAGCTGGACCCTAAGAACCATAATCATACTGTTTAGAATCATGGCTGTGTGCTATACAAAGTTGCTTTGTGAAAAATCTCTACTGCAAGACTAACGTTTTCCTGATTATGTTTAAAAAGAGTTGTTTGAGCCAGCCTGTGGCCTGGGGGTTAAGGTGACTTAATCTTCGTCTTTTTTTGGGAGAGGTTTTTGCTCTAGGGTGTGTGCGCTAGCCAGAAAGACAGAGACAGACAGAAAGCGAGAAATCACCCCCCGGGGGGATGGCCAGGCTGCAATCCCTTCTCCTCCATTCTTCTCTTGGGATCTTGGGCACGCACGCCCATCTGTCCCATGTGAGTTTAAGCCACCAGGTCTGGGACTTGAACCGCGGTCAACTACATGGGAGTCCAACATCATAACCATTATGCCAACTGCTGGTCCCCAAGGTGACTTGATCTTACAGGGCCAACCAAGTGGTTTGAGTCGTGGACTCAGCAGCTTGAGAAACATGCTGGGCATGTGTGTGTGCACATGTGTCCATGCCCCAAATCCCCAAATAAGGACAAAATGGAGAAGGAGTTGTGTGTGACCATGCCCCATGGGAGGGTGGCATTCTTGCTTTTCTGCTCTTTATCTCTCTCTGGTGAGTACACGTGCCCTTTGGCAAATTAAAGAGAAAGGAAAAAGAGTTGTTTAACCATCTGGCTTTACTCCTTTAATACTGAGAAGTCTGTTACATTTATCTAATCTATCTAAGCAGCTTTGTTGATGTCCCTGGAAACAACTGCCATATCTTTATAAATTAATATATATCTATCGCCTTTGACATAAATGAAACACAATCTTAGAAAAGAGTAAACATTTTATTATTTGTACATGAATCGGTTTGCTCTGAGAATACATGAGCATCTGGCTAACTCATAAAAGTAGCCTGAATCGATAGGAGAGTGTTAGTGGCTGTTTACATTTGTTGCAAACACCACTTACGTTATCTACTCAGTAGGCATTGAGAGGCCCAGAATGGACACATCAGACTGCCAGGTGGACAGTGGCACCTGCACTGGGTTTTTAAAAAGCAGAGGATGCATGGCAGTCAGACACAGGGTCTACAAAGGCCTCAGGAGGAAGAGGACAGGGCAGAATAGGTTTTCTGGGGCCAGAGTGCCTCTCAGGGAGGGGCTGAGAGACAGCCATACCCTGTCCAGCCTCCACCAGAAGAATGTGTGTCAGAACAGGGCCCCCCACATGGCATGGCCCCGGTCACAAGGGTACCACCTGAAGGGTGGGCAGAGGCCCCCGGGGAGGAGCCACATATTCCTCCTCTCTGAGCAGCCGCAGCAGGATGTTTTTCTTATTCTTGGGCCAGCTGTAGACGTGAGTGTTCTGAAGCCAGGTGGGCACATGCTCCTATGGGAGAGAGAATGACAGGAGCAAAGGTCGTTACAGAGAAATCTGGATTCCAGATCCCAGGCTCAGTTCCCAAACATCTCTGGCTTTCCCTTCATGGGCGTTTCCTACCAAATTATCCTGGGAGTTGTGCTGTTTGGCTTTTGGAAGGGTTTAGCATGTGAAATGTTCTTGGCTTCGGGTGCAAGCTGTAGAGCTCATTACAGAAAACCACATGTGCACGACATTTTCTGTCAGTCTCCCCAGCTACCTGCCCTTCGCGTTTCAACGTGCTTTTCACCACCCTCACATGAAAGGGGAAGGACAGAGGTCACGTAGAACGATGTGAATTCCCCTGTGACTTCGGAAGAAGTATACCAAGGCTATGGACCTAACCTAATTCATTCTCCTTTCACTGCTGTCCCAGATCTGGCCTGCAGTAGGAGTGCACCGGGGCTCAGCTCTCAGGCAAAGGCTGACCCTGTAAGCAAGAACCCCCGGGTGCAGTTGCAGATGGCCCTCATGGATGTTCTGGTGCAGAGAGGCAGGTGGTAAGTAAAATGAGTAGTGGGTGACAGTGATACATGCTGTGGAGAAAAACCAGAAAGGGGATAGGGAGTCCTGGAGCCAGAGTGTAAGGTTTACAGTTTTACAGAGTGCTTAGGAGAAGTTTCTTTGCCTAAGGGAAAGGGCAAAGACCTAACAGAGGAGAAGGAATGAGCTTAGTGATTTCCCAGGTCCAGGCATGTAGAAGAGCCAGTGCAAAGGCCCTGTGGTAGAGTGTGCTGGGCTTGTTCAACAGCAACAAGGCCAATGTGGCTAAAGATGAGAGTAGCTGGGGGAGGAGGCGTAGAAATACAGGGGCTATATCAGATTGGGCCTTGTTCACCCCGTAAGGCCTTTGGGAGTTTTGTTTGTTGTTTATTTTAAGTCTATTTCTTTCTTTTGAGAGAGTGAGAGAGACAGAGGGAAGGGAAAAGAAGTATATGCCACATGCCATACTGTGATCCTCCCACCAACGTCCAGCCAGCACAGGTGTGATATGAGGCGTGTTCAGGTTGACTTGGAATCTGAACCTAGGCCTCCCATGTGGCTCCAGCATCACTCAGGGGTGCCCTACTGCCTGTGCCACTGCAGCTTGTTTCACTCTGAGATGGGACTCCTTTGGCATTGAGATGAGCTTAGAAGCAGCACCTGCTATGCCAGGCACCATGCTGGGCATCGGGGATCCTCAAATAAAAAAGGCAAAAGGCACTCGAGGAGTTTGAAATCTGAAGATGGAGATGTACTGTAAAGGAAATATTTAGTAGGGGACCAGCAGATGGCGTGGTGGTAAGGCAGTGGGCACTCCCACAAGACTGACCATGGTTCGAGTCCTGGATCTGGTGGCTTTCTCTATCTCTCTGCTCAAATTAAAATGAATGAATAAATAAAATTAAATAAAGAATTCTTTAAAAAATGTATTTCCTAGGCAATGGTGTACCAAGGAGGTAGGTGGTAGGAGCAGTCTTCCCTGAGCTCGGGCAGTAAGGAGACTTTCTGAAAGAGATTTAAAAACAATAACAGAACCAACTAAAAGTTGTTCTGTTTTTTATATCATCATACTCGAGTGATTCTAAACAATTATTCCCAGAGCCTCTGCTTCCAACCACATACCACTCAAGGTACTATAATTAAGAGCTCTCGAGAGAGGGACAATGAAATATATCGGTATCAGACAAGAGAGATCCCAGGGGAGGCTAGAGTGTTTGGGTGATAAAAGGATAACCAAGAGCTCACTAGGCAGACAAGTTAGGAGAGCAGAGGGAACAGAAAGGGCCAATGTACGGAGACACACAAAGACGTGGCATTTGTGAGAGCACGTGGAGACGGTCCAGTACGACCAGAGCATACAGCATCTGTGTAGAGGGTGAGAAGAGAGAAGACCAAGCAGGTGGGCACTGCTCTTCTGAGGGGGCTCAGATGTCATGCTAACGGTGGCTATGATTTGTAGTCAGCAGGCAAACACCACAGACTTTTTAAGCGGGAGAGAGACAGATCAGATAGACATTTCTGGGTGTTCCCTTTTCACGGCAGAGCAGAGGATGGCAAGTACCAGGTCAAAGTGGAGACTGAGGAGATTCCCCAGTAAGTGAGAGTAATGAGACCCTGGGCAAGGGAGGGACAGGGAGGATGGAAAGGTGTGCTAGGGTACAGGTTGTGCACCGTATAGCCCTAGGTGGCTAATTCATATAAATCGAACCCTCCCTCATTTAGGGCAGAAGTCTTGATGCAGACATCTAGGGATCTTTCAGGGCGAAGCTGGGTCTGATCTTAGGTTGCTGATTCGCAAGATGTTTATCCTACCACCACTTGCCCTTTGCCCCAGATGGTTTTGCCCAAACCTGAAGGCATACCCTTCTGGAGGGAAAACCCTCACATGACCCCATGGCAAAATTCACTCTGGTAACTGTGTAGATTTCATTCCTGTCATCTACAGCTTTGAGAGCTGAACTGTATGTAACAAAATACTTCCATGGAACAGCCAGTAAAAACGTACACATGTTGACTTTCATGTACAAGAGATAAGAAGTATCAGATGAACCTTCTCCTTTTCTCTCATGTATTAAAACACAAACTACTTTGTGTGCAATGGCAGTTTGAACAATTAGGACAGTGATGGCCCTATCAGATAACACTTACAGACCTTTCTGATTCATGCTGGTGAACTAAGTGGTACGACTTGTAGATCTTTCTGGTAACACTGTTATCTCTAAGGTTGAATAAAGAGTTCACAAAGTTTTTTTTACTTAAAAACCTGGATGGCAAACAAACCAAAGATTGAATTACAAGGTTTTTTGTTTATCTGTTTGTTTAAATACCTTCTTAGCATTTGGGAAGAGCACAGGGATGAATCTGAAATTCATGCTTCCTTGTTTTATGAATTCAATCTGCATCTGAAACCAAACAAATATGAAGGTTTTATTTCAAGAATGAACATGAGGAGTGAACAGTACTAATCATCATGCAAGCCCTTCCCATAACACATCCTTGCCACTCCCTCATTTAGCAGCTGTTTATTGAAGGCCTCTTCAAGGTCACACTTAGTGCTGGACTTTTTTTTTTTTTAAAGAATTATTTTATTTAACTTTATTTATTTATTTATATTTATTTTAATTTGATCAGAGAGGGACAGACAGAGAGAGGGAAAGTGAGAAAGTAAGCCACTAGGTCTGGGACTCGAACTGTGGTTGGCCATGTGGGAGTCCAGCACCCTTAACCCCCATGCCACCTGCTGGCCCTGACATGGGGTCTTAGGACACTTTCTAGGGCATTCTAGAGTCTCATCTCTTCCTAATTCTGGTTCAGTGACTTCACATTAGTAGCTTAAAATTGGCCATGGTGAGAGTACTTTATACCATGAAAATGGGGAAATGCTACAAATTGGAGTTGTTTGGTTTTGTTTTGGGGTGGAGACCTAGTTTTAGCAGAATATCCCAATACAATTCCTATCCTTACAAAACCAGCAGTTTGGTAAGCAGGCAGGGAGATAAATTACCCACCAGAATGCAGTGTGAGAGATATGAAGCCCAGAAAGGAGAACCTCCATTGTACATCAGGGGTTTGGAGAACAGTGACAAGGTAGAGGGAGGTATCTGGGTACTGAAAGAAAATATTTTGGTCAGGTAGGAAAAATAGAGGAGAGGGGAAGACCATTCCCAGCAGAGAAAGCAGCAGGAGCTAAAGTTTGGAGGTGGAAAAGTATGTGAGTGCGGTGGGGCCAGTTAGTAACCCATCGAAGACAGAGCTGAGGATGGGCCTGGCAGGAGGCGAGAGCCGAGGCTGAGCAGCCGCTTGCAAGGAGCTCTGTCTGCCAGGCTTCTGCTTTCCCACACTAGTTGCAATTTGCTCTGACACCGTGGTGGCCCAAGAAGGCTTAGCTGCCAAGAACTCTATCAAAATCAGAATTTTCAATATGAGGGGAGTTAGAGTCTTCCAAATCCTGTGACCATCAAAAAGCTTTCCATCTTCTGATGATAGGAGCTGAGGAACTGTATGTTCCCAACTAGTTCATCTTCCAATTGATTTTTATAACGAGAGGTCTTCGTCATGCACGGGAATAAAAAGAGAACAGAGAAGAAAGTGACAGTGGTGATGATCAGTTATTGAAATCACCATAGAAACCACTCATAATCACGTGCTCTCACATACACACATACACAGTCACACAACACACACAAATCCTCCACGAGGTATTTTCTTAGAAGCACTTTCTTGAAAAAGCCAGCAGACAATGCCAGAAGCATATTTTAAAATGACCCAAGGACTATGAACTAGGAGCACTGGCCGTCCCCACACAGAGTAAACGTGCCTAAGGTAGGACACAGGCTCCAGAAGCGAAAAGTGAAGAGCTGAGTTTTGTGTCTGACTTCCAGGACACCGCATGCTGCAAAGTTTGGCTTGCTCATAGGCTGTGGAGGGGCCAGCTAGCAGCAGTGCGTTTGTACTTTCTCCCAGACACTGGCTTTCTGGGAAGCAGTTTGCTCTATAATGCAGTTACTCATAGGTACTCTTCCTTCCCTCTGCATGGCCACGTTCTTCCTGTCCCAGGATTTTCTGCTACCTGCAGATGCCCAGGAAGGCAGCCACGTGGGCAGGAAGGTGCCTTGTATCTATTCTCTGTAGCCCCTTCTGCCGTGAGGAAGGGCCCAAGACATTGTTGCCCAAGACACCGAGTTTGGAGACAATGTGGTTCGTGGCTGGCTCACAGACAAGCTCTGAGGTTGGGCTGTGTTATTGGCGGGCTTTGCTGCACACCAGCTGAGCCAGACAGGTTTCCTCAGGAACTGGCAGGGACCTGGAGCCCTTCCCACACACCAGCTGTCAGCTCCTGGGACTGGCAGATTCCTACAGATGAGACAGGACATCGGGTGTTCTGAGGCCACACAGACATGTGACAGCCAGCCAAGAGATGGCAGCACCCAGAGGCGGCCGTGACCTTTTAGGGCGGTTTCTTCCAGACACGGTACCTTTCTGGGCCCTGTCTGTGGACTATAAGACTGGAATAAGACTTACTTCCTGGCTACTTGGTTTTCTTTTCTTTCTTTCTTTTTCATTTTTTTAAATCTTTTTGTCTTCCATGAGTAAAGGAGTCAGAAAGAGAAAGACAGACCCCTCCCAACAGGGTCCCAATACTGCAGTCCATCCTCGGCCTCAGGCCTCAGCCGATCCTGGATCCTGGGCGTCTGCATACTTGGCATACTCGGGGAGTCCCTGAAGGCAAACTTGGAACCTTCCCACGTGGGTCAGCCTCATGTCCCCCAGTGCAGCACTGCTCAGCCCCCAGCCTGACTTTTTCACCTCACCTACTTGCCTTAGCTTTCACTTGGGGTTGATCATGAGCACAAATAAGCAATCTGTACTTAGTGGGAAAAGAGACAGAAAGCCTGACCCCAGTGCAGACTACCCCCTCCCCCTCCCCCGCACCTTTTCCTATGCTCCTGACCCACAGGACAGACCCTGGGAGTTACGTCCCACTCCCCCGAGGTGAAGTCGTGTGTCCCAAGGCTGCTCTTTGTTGTGCCGCTGACTCGTAGGCCACTTCTTCCTGCCCCATCTCCCTGTCTCAGCTAGTGAACTTCATGCCCATTCTGGTGCCTGACCCCTTCTGGGAGTGTTAGAGCTGAAATAGAGCTTCCAAGTTCTAGTTCAGCAATTTTTCAAGTCTTTTTAAATCTCAGAATCCTTGGTAAACAAACAAGCCTGAGAAATGCAGACCAGCTGTGGTTGAGGTAGGGATGGGAGGCCCAGAGCCACCTCACTCCTAGCACATATGGGCAGCCATTAGAGACCCCCTGACTGCTTGAGGCGTGCTTTGCTGCACACCAGCTGAGCCAGACAGGTTTCCTCAGGAACTGGCAGGGACCTGGAGCCCTTCCCACACACCAGCTGTCAGCTCCTGGGACTGGCAGATTCCTACAGATGAGACAGGACATCGGGTGTTCTGAGGCCACACAGACATGTGACAGCCAGCCAAGAGATGGCAGCACCCAGAGGCGGCCGTGACCTTTTAGGGCGGTTTCTTCCAGACACGGTACCTTTCTGGGCCCTGTCTGTGGACTATAAGACTGGAATAAGACTTACTTCCTGGCTACTTGGTTTTCTTTTCTTTCTTTCTTTTTCATTTTTTTAAATCTTTTTGTCTTCCATGAGTAAAGGAGTCAGAAAGAGAAAGACAGACCCCTCCCAACAGGGTCCCAATACTGCAGTCCATCCTCGGCCTCAGGCCTCAGCCGATCCTGGATCCTGGGCGTCTGCATACTTGGCATACTCGGGGAGTCCCTGAAGGCAAACTTGGAACCTTCCCACGTGGGTCAGCCTCATGTCCCCCAGTGCAGCACTGCTCAGCCCCCAGCCTGACTTTTTCACCTCACCTACTTGCCTTAGCTTTCACTTGGGGTTGATCATGAGCACAAATAAGCAATCTGTACTTAGTGGGAAAAGAGACAGAAAGCCTGACCCCAGTGCAGACTACCCCCTCCCCCTCCCCCGCACCTTTTCCTATGCTCCTGACCCACAGGACAGACCCTGGGAGTTACGTCCCACTCCCCCGAGGTGAAGTCGTGTGTCCCAAGGCTGCTCTTTGTTGTGCCGCTGACTCGTAGGCCACTTCTTCCTGCCCCATCTCCCTGTCTCAGCTAGTGAACTTCATGCCCATTCTGGTGCCTGACCCCTTCTGGGAGTGTTAGAGCTGAAATAGAGCTTCCAAGTTCTAGTTCAGCAATTTTTCAAGTCTTTTTAAATCTCAGAATCCTTGGTAAACAAACAAGCCTGAGAAATGCAGACCAGCTGTGGTTGAGGTAGGGATGGGAGGCCCAGAGCCACCTCACTCCTAGCACATATGGGCAGCCATTAGAGACCCCCTGACTGCTTGAGGGCCATGGTCTAGTATGGTCCTAGTCCAGCCGCAACTGTCTCCACCGTCTCTGTAATCGTGGACAGCAGGACTGTGAAACAGCCAGTCACAAAGCTGGGTGATATTCCAAGTCAGAATGTTCTGAGGCTGAACAAGTCTCGTTTCCTATACATTGCTCTCCTTAGTTTTAACTGGACCAGGTCCCATCACTCAGGTGTGCAGTGGCATGCGCTTCCCCTTTCTGAGCTGAGAACGACCCCTTTCTCATGTAGCCTTCACTGTAAGGATTAGCAACCCACTTTATGACTAGGGACACTATGGCACAAAGAGGTTCAAGTGGCAGAGCCATGCTTCTATCTATGGAAGCCAAATTTGAGCCAAGCCCATCTGATAGAACGGCATGTGTCCGTGTCACGATGCCACCCAGCCTCTCTGACAGGGCAGAGCCCAGAACATGGCCCAAATGCTGGAGCACGCCCTCGCAGCTGTCTCCCATCCTCCTAAGACTTCACATTTGTGTTTAAACAACCAGGTCAGCACACACTGCTTCAGAGTCTCGGAACTCAGAGATCACACACTGATTGATCCTCCCTTGTTGACAGAACACAGAGTGCCAGAGGTCTGGTGACCGGCCCACCATTCCCAAGGTTGGGGGGGTCAGGACCACGATCCCCTGACCTGACATGGGAGGCTTGGGGTTCTTCACCCCACACCACGCCGCCTTCAGCTGGTCTCTGAAGATCAGGCCCACACTGGAGAGAGAGAGCCACCCCCGGGGCCACTCACCATGCGATGAATGTACTTAGTATGTAAGCCGTGCTCGTCCTCGTCCAGCTGCGACTCAGCGCCTTCCACATCCTGTTTGTATTTGGGGCTGATTGCTACGATTATCATCACTGTCTTCTGTTAATGAGAGGGAGATGAGCATGTTTATGCAAGTGTAAAGTGTGGTCCATTTGGTGAAGACAGGCTGGAATCTGGCCAGTGGGGCTGTAACATTCTCTGACATGCTTGAGGATGGAGGACCAGGCTAGTTCTCCCTGGAAAGTGAAAGGTACTGTCCCCCCACCCTTCCCTGCCCCCAGCAGGCTCTTGTCTCTGCTGTCTCCCAGCCCAGCTGCCCTCAAACACACAGAGCAAATGGCTCAGAAAGCAGCTCTGAATAGATGTGCTTCTGCCACCATTTTCATTTTCCACCACCATCCCTAATAAGCGTCTAATGAAAGCCTGAATCACTAAGTCTGCATCGTGGCAAAAAGGCGCTTCAACACCCGCCATGAAAAACACCCTCCCTCCCTGCAGCTGGATCTGAGCTGTTGGCGGCTGCAGCACTCCTGACTGCCCTGCTCTCTGCATGTACGCATTAGCACGTCAGTAGGAACAGACCCTTCCGCACAAAGCAAACATCAGGCTGGAGACAAAAGGAGAAGCTCCAGCCCCAGCCTGCCCAGGCTCCCGTCCCCCATCCGCTCCCTCCCAAAGACGCGCCGACACGGACACGCTGGCAGCAATCAATTTCTATCTTGTTAAAGCACAAAGTGTCCCAGTGGCCGGTATAGATTCTGTCAGTAGAAAACAAATCACGGGGCTGCGAGTGGGCGCCTCGGGGGCGGTGTGCTACACAGCCTGTGAGCTGCTGGGGAAGCCTCTTCAGCCAAATCTACAAAACACTTGGGGTGGCCTCAGATGAAATTGAATTCTGCCGCTCCCCCCCACCTCCCGCCTTCATTTCCTCCCTTCCTATTCTGGTCAAAAAATTGTTTGCTCTGATTGTTATCAACCACCTGTGTCTGGTTTGACCGTTATTTCCTGCCTGTGCATGTCCAGGAGGGGCGACCCCATCTTTCCTTTCCAAGTCTTTGCACGGCTTGCAACAAGGGAAGCTTTGTTGGGACTTTCTCAGCTCCAGACTTGGGTGGGTGTGCCAGTGCTTCTTTCATAAAATAACTTCACAAGCTAATTGTCTTTCTCACCAGAAAACAACTTCAGCATTTTGGAATGTACTTACATCCCTAAGGTAGCGCTCCATCCATTTAATGATATCGATGCCTCGGATTCTGTCCTCAAAAATGTCAATCTGCAAGACAAAGATGTGGAAGTGGCTTTTAGTGATAAGCTTCCTCTAGACAGCAGAGCAATGAGAAAACTATATACAAACATTTAAAATTCAAAAAGTTACCAATCCTTTCGCAAGGAGGAGCACATATGTCTAACAAACAAAATGCAGTTTTCTTAAACTAGTCCCTATCTTAACATTAGTAGACACTTAAGTATTTAATGTCCATAATTAGGATACAGTGGTATACATCAAAATGTGGCGGGCCAGCCAGTGGACTGACTGGTGGTTAAGACAGCTGGGTCTGGACTGTGCAGTTTGAGTCCCGTACCTGCTGGCTTGAAAAACATGCTGTATGCATGTGCATGTGTGCCTGAATGGAAGAAAAGGAACTGTGGTGTAACCATCCTCCTGGGGGTGTTTCTCACTCTCTGGAGAGCGCATGCTTCCGATTGCAAAAAATTGAAAAAGTAATATATCTGGCTACACAATAATTATGTTTTAAAAAACTTAAGGGAACGAGCAGATAGCATAATGGCTACGTCGCTGGACTCCCATGTAGTTGACCACGGTTCAAGTCCCGGACCCAGTGACTTAAACTCACACCAGGCGTATGTGGGTGTGTGCCCAAGATCCTGAGAGGAGAATGGAGGAGAAAGGATTGTGGAGTGGCCATCCTCCCTGGGGGAGGGGGAGTATTTCTTGCTGTCTTTCTTTCTCTCTCTGTCTTTCTGGTGAGCACACATGCCCTATAGCAAAAACCTCTCAAAAAAAAAAAAAATTAAGGGACACAGAAGCTAGCTAGTGGCACGGTTAAGACGTTGGATCCCACATAGCTGACTTTGTGGTTTCAGTTCTGGACCTGGCAGCTTGAAAACCATGCTAGGTGTGTGTCTGTGTGTGCCCCAAGAAGAAAATAGAGAAGGGATTGCCTGGGGGATGATTTTTCACTTTCTCACTCTCTGTCTCTCACTCTGTGTCCAGAGAGTTTGCATGCCCCTTAGTAAAACTTAAAAATAAAAACAAATTAAGGAACACAGTATACACTAAGTTGGATTAATCCAGCAATATCCGTACTTTTACTTACGTGCATATGTATTGGGTTGTTGGGAAAGCCATGATGCATTTTTGAAAGAGAATAGAAAAATACGTCATGACTTTCCCAACAACCTAATAAATATATGTATATACGTGCGTAATTTGAAAATCTGAAAGGCAAACGTAATTGTAAAACATTTTAATGGATGTGCAGTGTACAAGTACTGAGATACAACTGTGGTGTTTTACTCGCATTAGTCAGGTCATTATTATGGTATTATGTCTAGTTTCGATCTCTATCTTTCAAAAGGATTGTATGAAACTTGGAGCAGAGTCAAGAAAAGGTCACAAAAACCATTACTGAGATGGTAGAAAAAAGGTTTATGATGAAAGTCAAGAAGTAGAACTCGTGGGCCTTGAAATGACTAATATTTAATATCTGTCTTCATGTCTTTGAAGGTATATTCAAAAAGGAGAAAAAGTAGTGTTCTAATGTATAGAAGTCCAAATAATAAGGTCATTCTTGGGCTCAGGCTTGTACTGCAGCCCGAGAGGAGTGTGTATGCCAACAGCGTGTGTGTGTGTGAGAATACAAGGTGCTCTTGATTGAAGGGGGATTATATACTGAAGTGGATTATATACTGACACAGGGAGAGTGTCCTTGCGAAGAGGTTATCTGATCAGCCACACTGCTCCCAGACTCATCATCCTAAATGTCACTCCACCATTTAGGGCTGATCAAGTCAAGTCATAGCCATCAGCAAGCTCTTTGTGCCATCTGGAACCCAGCCTATCTCTTTCCCAGCATGCCCTGCCTACCTTACTCTCACTGATGTCCCCTGCACCCTAAAAGCACAAGTCCCCCTGCTTTGTAAGTCTTTCCCACCCACTGACTTTCTCCTCCTTGCAAATAACCATTATGATATTCTTTCATTTACTAATTATCTCCTTTACGTATGCCTTGCTTCTAAGTGCCCCGTGGAGAGACCATGCTTGTGTACACCAGACTACTAAACACATAGGGTGCACGATATGAGTTTAGAATATGTCGTGTTTTCTTACTGATAAACCATAAAAAATGGCTGACTTTGCTCTTGGTGTGGAGGGACTCTGTTTTAAGTGTGTGAGGGCTAATGACTACATCAGGTAGTCTTGAGAAAGCTTTTGTAACTCCCTGTGACTTCATCAGTCATCCATTTCTATAAGAGAGGGGAGCAATACAGTGTCAGGACCGATCAAATCAAGTCCCAGCCATTCAGCAAGCTTCCTGTGCCATCTCCTATCCAGCCATCTCCATCTCTCCTTCCCCACATGCTCTGTTGAGAAAAGATGTCCATCTTGGGTCTCCTCTTGGTTCTGCCAGTTGCCTCCTGCAGGGCTTTGGAAATACTACTGAAACTTTTTAAGTCTTAACTGTCTTCATCTGTAATATGTAGTTGATCAACTTATTTCCTAGAATGGCTGTGAGGGTTAAAATGAGTTCATATGGAAAAGGTATGTCATAATGCCAGACGTGCAGTAAGCACTCAATAAATGTCAGTGATTATCCCAGCACCTAAGTTATTCCCGGCCACTGAGTGGACATTCTGGGGGGCACAATGTGCTGAGTATCTTCCATCTGTCTCTCCAGAGCTCTCCCAGAGTCCACAGCTCCTGTCGTCGGGACAATTTCTCCACACAGCTGCTATTATGGGCTAAATTTTGTGTGTTCCGTTACCCTCAATCTGTATGTTGAAACCTTAAACTTTAGTACCTCAGAATGTGTCTGTATTTGGCGATAGGGCCTTTAAGGAAGTATTTAAGGTAAAATGAGGTCCTGTGAGGGGGCTCTAATCCAACAGGACTGATGTCCAAGAAAGAAGAGGAGATCAGGATGCTGACAGAGGAGAAAAGGACTCCGGGTGAAAGTCTGCTGACACCTTGATGTTCAGACTTTCAGCCTTCAGAACTGTGAAGAAATAAGTGCTGCGGATTGTTGATTAAGCCACCCCTCTATGGTATTTCATGGCAATCCTAGCAAATGATAAAGCCTCCTCTTCAGGTTTCTGTAACCCTTCTTTTGCCTCTTTAGACCTCAAGGCAGTAACCATGCCTTGCTGTTACTAATGGCACCATGCCCCAGTGCCTACAACCTACCCAAAACTTCGTTATTAAAAAGCCCCTTTATTAAAGTTTCCTTACATTGCCATTACGTGTCTCAGTCCACCAGGAGGATCTTGATGGATCAACAGTAACTCAGCTGTCCAGGACAGGGCTCAGTGCGATGAGGATCAAGCACAGTTTACCTTCCGCCTAAGCGGCCCCTGACCATTAAGGTCACAAACACCTGGGCTCTTCTCCAGGGGCAATCAGTATGCTTATTTGGAAATGACAAAAAGAAAAATCGTTTTTGAAGTACTGACCTTATGTCTTGTAGTTTGACTTTATGCCACAGTTGCCACAGTGTTTTCTTATTCCAGAGATGAAAAAGTGAAATGTTGCTCTTTATGTTGTCATAAAGTTGTATTGTGTAAATTGTATGCTTTTTTTTCTTTTTAATGAGGCAGAACGAGCATGAATGGAAGGAAGAGCTAAGCAGGTATCCTGAGCAGAGTCTTGCTGTGTGGTGATTCTCCAACTCCAGCCTCCCAATCACAAGGACCACAGGCACACCCCTGTACCTGGACTGTCTTAGGTTGGGGCAGAAGCTGATCCCAGGCCTCCCGAGTGACCCCAAGCTCTGTGCAGGGACACCTTCCTGCTGTAGCACCACAGCTAGACCTGTATACTTATTTATTATTTTTTTAAACTTTCAGACACTCCCTTTTTTAAAAAAAAATGTGTTATAGAATAAAGAGAAAACTTCAAATAAAAACTGTTAATGCTAAGTATCTTTTAAAATTTATATTTCATTACTAAGTATTTCTCTTCTGCATTTCTGTTCATAGATACATCTCCTTAGGTTTTTACCACTTTCTAAAATGAATGGTCACTGAATACCTAGAAGAGGCTTTTGGGGAGGAAAAGAAGTGATCTCAGTGCTCGAGGAAAGCCAGTCCTCTGAGTAGCATCCTGCGGTATTTTAGTTATCCTAAGGAAACACTAGCAGGATTTAGGCTGTGCTGTTCAGCGGACCTGAGGGGCATAGGTGGAGTACACGCATGCTGAGATTTCTTGGGCCAAGACCACAGCAGACCTGGAGGACTGGCTTAGGTCTCCCTCCCCAGAACTTCACTAGACTAGCCCAGAACCGACCATGTATTTCCTGCCAGGAGCGAGTGCTGCATCAAGATGCGGAATGGCAGCTGTGCATGGTGAAGGATCCAGGCTACAGGGGCTTGGTTTCAAACCTTAGAACCACTGCAGCTTAAGAGATCCTTGTTAGGGACCAGCGGATGGCATGATGGTTACATCGCTGGACTCCCACTTGGTCCACTGTGGTTCCAAGTTCCAGACCCGGTGACTTAAAACTCATGTGGGGCACGTGTGCATGTGTGCCCAAAATCCCAAGAGGAATTTGAGGGGAAGGGACTGTGGTGTGGCCATCTCTCCTGGGCCATGATTTCTCACTTTCTGTCTCTGTTTCTCTCTGTGTCTCCAGTGAACGCACATGCCCTATAGCAAAAATCTCTCTCAAAACAAAAACAAAAAGCCTTGTTAAATAAGCAGGTGACCATGGTGAAGCCTGTGGCTTCCTGCATCACAGGAAGCATAGCCAATCTGGGCCTGAGTGGGGAGAAAGGTGCAAGTACTAAGTACAGCAGTAGTCCACCGTGTTCCTCAGACCAGGGCCAGCTGCACATGTGGCGGCTTTAGCACTTTCCTTGCTGTTCGAAGGTAGCAGGGCTCACGCGAAAAGCATGCAAGGAAAACAAAACTGCTAGAGACGGCAAGGTTCACAATCTACAAAAGGATTCTCTACATCTATCGGCATGTAGTTCATAATCACATAAATCAAGTACTATAATGGAAAACATCAGAGGCTATTAATACTTTTCCTTCACTTGGGTTTCATTGCACTCATTTTAACTGTTCAGTTTTCTATTTGGATAAAATACTTACGGCAGTTTGGAAGCCATTTACTAACAGAAAGTTCACGAACTTCACGACCTCCATGGCTGTGTCCATAGAATAAGTGATGAAAACTTTCCCTAAGAGAAAAATTTCACCTTTATCAGAAATGAGTCAAATTATTTCTGTTCTAAACATCACTTCTAAATTGTATGTGACGTTTTTCCTCTTTCTAGAATATAAGGGGAGACCTTGGGATGAGAGTGGTCTGAGGGCTTACGCCTGCAGCAGAGTAGGTGGGGGTCTGTCCGAGGGAGTGTAGGTGCTTCAGAGGTCTTCTGAAAAACCACACCGAGGCATTAACAAAAAATCCAGCACCCAGAATCTGGGCTCTCAGATCAGGCCTCTGCCTGGTTCCTTGGAGACATCTGGCATGGTGCCCAAGGAATACTTTCACAGCAGGCCAAGAAGCTAAGATTTGCTAAAGGGCCACCCAGCAGTGTCCTCTGTTGATCTCGTGATCGCTCGCTGCTGCCCTGAACTCATGCTTGACAAGAGCAAGTGAGGGGACAGTGAGAAAGCACACCCCTCCTCCCCCTCACCACGCACTTCTGGAAAAAGCCCAGGAAGCTGGAGTAGACCAAAGCACAGCTCAGAAATGTTAGTGAAAATTTCAGCAGTTGAAAGGAGAGACAACGCCTCAGGGCAGTCCAACTCACAGATTCCCTCGCTCATCCCTGCTTCAGCTCAGAGCGCTAGACAATGCTGTTCAGACAAGCTTAACCCAGCCAGAATGAGAACCAGTGTTTCTTCTCAGGCTAAAGTCTTGGGGCAATTATCCGGCTAGCATTTTAATGTGAAAGATGAATAATCTGTGTATTGGCTTTTCATTTGGAATGGACCAGTTAATTCTTAGGATCTTCTGGGGCAGAGAAGGAAAAAGAAAGGGGGGTGGGGCTGGGAGAAAAAAAAATATGAGTATGTATATATTCATCTATGCATAGGCTCTTATTTTTTGAAACATCTTAGATGGATGTGTGTATAATGGTCATATTAGCGCATGTATGCAGCAAGGCATACTGAAAGTACTCTTTTTCTTCTGAATACCTAATATTCACTCAGTTCTTGTGAATATAATTTTAGGGCTCCCTTCATAGATTATGGCAAGATAAAATGATCTATAGATAGACATCAGGACTAGACCCTATGCAATGCAGCCTCTATTCTCCAGCAACACTCAAAATTAAAACGTGTAGAATTTTAAGAGGATATTAAAGTAAATAAAACTTTCCGAATGGAAAAAATAAAAAGTCATCGTCTTAGAAATCTTCCCAAGTTGTAAACAAGTAGAAAGCACGGATTCCCCAAAAGGAATGAACAAATGCAATGGGATTCCTTCGTTCTTAGTTTAGTTTAAGAAGCTTCCCAGATTTGGAAAGAGCGTGTTAGAATTTCCTGAGCTGCTCTCACACGCACAGCAGATAATCATGTTCTAAGTAGTGGCTGTTTTCTTAAGACTTCTGGAACTAACTATGCTGAATGACCTTAATATGAAAACATTTTGGTAGCATTTCAGTATTTCTGGTTCTGGCAGCAAAATGTGGAAAAAGAATCACCACCTGACACGTAGTTGAATGTTTCTTTAAATAAAAGGCTTACTCTGCATTTGGTTGTGAAGCACTATGGAGAATGTGAGATAGTTTTTTTTTTTCCAAACAAGATTCTTCATTCCTACAGGAAATGACCTCGTTCTTGACGGCTGCTGCTAATTTGTGGGGAGATGGTAGGTCCCTGTCCAATACCATTGGGACATCCAATCAATTCACCCAGGGACAAGGTCCACTCAGAAGCATCATTTAGAAGAGGGAAAAACATGGGGATTAGTTTTTGTTGGAGTGTGTGTTTAAGAAAGTTTAGTAGTAAGCAGTGTGTGAGCATTTCTGGTAGTGACAAAATCTTTTTTAAAACTTTATTTTTTAAACAATTTATCGAGAGAGGACCAACTAGTATTGTGGTGAAGAAAGCTGGATCCCACATGACTGACTTTGCAGATTGTGTCCTAGACCCAGTGACTTGAAAAACACACTGGGTGGCTCTTCCACAGGAGGCCTACACACCACCACTTGTGCCGCCGCCATGTCTCTAGTAATCCCAGCACATTTTGCGAGTACTCAATACCAACATGGATGGGCGGCAGAAAATAGCTTTTGCCGTCAGTGCCATTAAGGGGGTGGGGTGAAGATATGCTCATGTGTGTCGAGGAAAGCAGACGTGGACCTCACCAAGGTGATGTGGAATGTGTGATCACTATTATGCAGAATCCACGCCAGTACAAGATCCCAGACTGGTTCTTGAACAGGCAGAAAGATGTAAAGGAAAGAAAATCCAGCCAGGTCCTGGCCAACGGTCTGGACAGCAAGCTGCATGAAGACCTGGAGAGACTGAAGAAGATACAGGCCCACAGAGGGCTGAACCACTTCTGGGGCCTTAGGGTATGAGGCCAGCACACTAAGACAGCTGGCCCTTGTGGCCGTACCATGGTGTGTCCAAGAAGAAATAAGTCTGTAGGCCTTGTCTGTTAATAAATAGTTTATATACCAAAAAAAAAAAAAAAAACAACAACAACAACAAAAAAACCCAAAACCAAAACCAAAAGAAAAATCAAAACACTGGGTACATGTGTGTGCATGCCAAAATCCCAGGAGAATGGAGCAGGGGGAGGGATTGTGGCATGGTCACTCCTCTGGGTGGTGATTTCTCACTTTTCCTCTCTTTCTTTCTTTCTCTGTCTCTCTCCAATGAGTGCATATACCCTATAGCAAAACCACAGAAAACAAATTTTTTTTGAGAAAAAGAGAAAGAGATGAGCATGAGCACCTTCAACAGAGTTCCATGCCACCATCCCTCCCCAGCCTTCTCAGCCAGCCATGATCAGAGAGCCAAACCCATGATGGTCCATATAGATCCAGCCTTGTTTTTGAGTAGCATGTTACTGCTAGGCTGCTAAGCCAGCCCAATGCAGATTACTTTTTTTTTCTTTTAAGAAATATTTTATTTAACTTTATTTGTTTATTTATTTATTTGTTTATTTATTTATTTAAATTTGACCAGAGAGAGAAAGAAAGAGAGAAAGTGAGAGAGCAAGCCACCAGGTCCAGGACTTGAACCGTGGTTGGCCATGTGGGAGTCCGGTGCCCCTTAACTATCATGCCACCTGCTGGCCCCAATGCTGGTTACTTTTTAAGCAAAAAATAAAATTCATTGGACTGTATACATGAGAAGTACATTTTTGTAACAGAAATATTTTTCTCTGAGACTATAGATGAGTGGTGAAGTACTCTCAGAGTACAAGACCTGAGAAAAAGAAAAAACAACCTTGCAAATAACTTACGCAATTCTTCTGGCAAATTGCTCGTTTTCAGAGTTCCTCTGGCCAGTGGGTTACTAGGGGGTCTAGGTATGGCAGGGGCCTGAGGGCCATGTGGTTTCAACTCTGCAGGACACTCCAAAGACTCCTCGGGAGCTCCAGCTCTATTTGGTGGCTGATGATGCAATGGATCCCTGGAAAGGAATACGCTTACAGTAAGCCTTCATTGTTTACAAGTCAAACTTTAAGGGAAAGAAAGCTTAAAGAACTACAAGAAGACACCCATGAACTGTCTTTCTCTCCTCTGCATCCATTTCTTATCTTAGACAGAAGGAAGAGGGAATGGATTTTCAGTCATAAGAAATTCAGCTGGCTGCCATATGTATGACTCTATTAGGGGTTGAAAGAAAGAGGCAAGCTTTTATTTTTCTATTCAGGACTGTCTAATTGGGAAAATAATTCTCATGCACAGAGCAGACAAGGTCACTGACAGAACAAAGTAGGAAGATGCGTGACATAGAAGGCTGATGTTACAGGCATCTAGATAAAAAGACAGGACTGTTAGCTCATGATAGATAATATTTAATTTTTACAAAAGGTTAAAAAGGCCATGCAGGGTTAAAAATATGCATGTATGTAAAAATATATATGCAAAGCATTAATGGGACAAAGACATGTGGTATTATCTGTTGAAGATATTTTATAGTTTTAACAACTGGATTAGGGAGAAATATTCACCTGTTGAAATATTCATTTTGTGGGACCAGCAGTTAGTGTAATGGCTATGTAGTCAACCATGGTTCAAGTCCTGTACCCAGTGGCTTAAACTCACGCCGGATGCATGTGCGTGAGTGCCCAAGATCCCGAGAGGAGAATAGAGAAGGGATTACGGCGTGGCCATTCCCCTTAGGGGGTGATTTCTCGCTTTCTGTCTCTCTGTCTCTCTCTTTCTGGCAAGTGCACATGCCCTATAGCAAAAACCTCTCCAAAAATATATATATATATTCATTTTGTAAGTTAAATAATGTGATTGAATGTATAAAAGAAAATGAAATTTAAAAAATGAAAAAAGAATATGCATGTTGTTGGACCAGCCACTAGCATGGTGTAACGTTAAGTTGGCTGGATCCCACACGGCCAACTGTGCAATTTGAGTCCCTGACCCAGCAGCTTGGAAAACATGCTGGGCACATGTGCACATGTGCCCAAAATCCCAACAAAAGAAGAGAGGAGATTAGACTGTGCCGTGGCCATATCCCCCAAGGGTTGCTTTCTCACTTTCCCCCATCTGTCTATCTCTCTCTTTGATGAGTGCACATGCCATGTAGCAAAAATAGTTTTTGAAAATCTGATTTGAGGGACCAGCAGTCAGCGTAATGGCTATGTCGCTGGACTCCCATGTAGTCGACCACAGTTTGCGTCCCGGACCCGGTGGCTTAAAACTCACGCAGGCTGCGTGTGCGTGCGTGCCCAAGATCCCGAGAGGAGAATGGAGGAGAAGAGATTGCAGCATGGTTATCCCTCCTGGGGGGAGGTGTGTGATTTCTCGCTTTCTGTCTCTCTGTCTCTCTCTGTCTATCTGGTGAGTGCACACACCCTATAGCAAAAATCTCTAAAAAAAAAAATCTGATTTGAAGGCTCTTTAAAGAAGTTTCTACCACATTGTTAAGTAGCATTTTCATTATTATTTTGATCGCTACTATTCCCATGAATATTCTGGAGATGAACAGTCTCATGCCCTCGTGTGAGATTTGGAAGGCAGAAGGAAATGGAAATCAAGGTTCTGCCATTTCTGTGGTTTCTTTTGGCAAGCAGTCATGAAGTGCCAAGTTTTGCCCAGAAAGCATGCCACGGTCCTCTTACCAGCTTCACGAACGTCAAGGGCAGATTATGAGCATCCATTTTTGTTCAGGGCAGGTCTGGCAGCCACAGAACCTACCCAGCAGTTGCAGTGGTCACAGCAGAGTTGGCCTTCTGAGTCTCTCCCTTCCTGACTGCAGAGTAGGAAGTTTCTTTGGTAGTCCTATTCTGTGTGCTGCTCTGGGATCCTTCCAGGAAACCCAGCCTAAAAGTTCACTCTTCCAACCTCCAACAACTTAGTCAGCACCCAAATGCCAATATTAAATCTCTTCCGCCTAAAATGGAAGAGTTGTTCCTATTTTTTTGTAACTAGTACGGGACTTAAATTGTATCTGTTTTGTTCTATTTCTTCTAAAAATTTCAGAAGTGGGCCCAGCAGATGGTGTAATGGTTATGTCACTGATTGCCATGTAATTGACCGTGGTTCAAGTCCCAGACCCGGAGGCTTAAAACTCACACTGGATGCATGTGTGTGCATGCCCAAAAGTCTGAGAGGAGAATAGAGGAGAAGGGATTTTGGCGTGGCCATCTCCCTAGGGGGTGGTTTCATGCTTCCTGTCTCTGTCTCTCTCTGTCTCTCTGGTAAGCACATGCATCCTATAGCAAAAAATTTCTCTTAAAAAAAAA